ATGAGCAAAAAATGGCCCATTTTTTGCTCATGCTTGCCCTCCCCAGCCCCCAGGAGCACTCTGGAAGCCTCCTAAAGGCTATGCACGGCCATTTTGGTGAAGGGATGGGGTTTCGGGAGGCCAAAAATGCTGTATTCAGTGTATAAGATGCACCCAGATTTTCAGCCTCTTTTTTGAAAAATACGGTAGCTCCCTCTTCCCACCATTTTGTGGCAACCCTGAAGCCTCCAAGATGGCCTCAGCCAGGTTCACTTCAGGGTTAACAAAACATTCATAAAACAGATGGTTGTAAGTCAAGGACTACTCTGCAGTGATGGAAGCTGCATAATAACTTCTAGTCACCTTGAGTTCAAAAGTTGTTCACTATTATTTAATTTAAATGCAGCATGAAGGGCGATCACAAATTTTTAAGCACATTGTAGCAGAGGGGGCCGACCTTATTTTGGCAATGGACACATGTTATATGGAGTTATTTGTGGCTTATCATTGAGTAAGTGTTGTCATAATTGCTTTCAATGTGGTTTTTGTTGTACTGTGGAGGTGAAGACAAAGAATTGAGCAGAAACAACACGTCTCAACCCAGCAGTAAGAAGGTTCGGTTTTCAGAGAAGCAGCGCTTGCAAATCTTTGATGAAAGCAAACCACCCATTACGCCTGTAGGGAAAGGCCATTCATTTCCCAATTCCCTTCGTTCTGTTCTGAAGAAAACACCAGTCAAAATCGCATCCGAAGGCTTGAAGGTTGGTGTTTAAATACTAACTATACTAGGGGCCAGCAAGCCCCGGCTCTGGAACCACATGTGGCTCTTTCATCCCTCTGCTGCGGCTCCCTGTCACCAGTTGGCACCACAATATTGAGAGCAGCTTCTGGTCGGGGGGGAACAGGGTGTGCCAGGAGGAGACACTATAGCAGTGATGGTGAAACATGTAGAAACATCGTACGGTCATGCTCGTCGGGGCTGCGCTCCGGAAAAGATGAATTTTCGGGTTTTAGTGTGCATGCGCACCTGACGACCAGCTAGCCGGCGTGCATGTGCAGGGTGGTTTTCGGTACTGCCGCACACACGAAGCTGGCCGGTGCATATGCACGCACTGGTTTTTAGCACTGCCATGTGCGCGAAGGACAGCTGATCGTCACACGCACATGCGTGCCAGAAACCCGGAAGACAAACAGGCAAGGCCGCGTGTGCCGGGTGACATGGCTCCGTGTGCCATAGGTTCACCCTCATGGCTCTATAGCAAGGGGAGGGTTTTCCAGTCAGCTCCACAACTGATAGGGCTTTCGGTTAGGACAGGTAGAGGAAAAAGGATGCTGCGCTAGAAGGAGTCTCTATGGTGGGGAAAACTGACTTCTGGTCAGCTCCAGAATTGAAAGGGGGGGGGGCTTCCGTTTAGGACCTTTGTGGCACTTGGAGCGTTTAAGGTTGCTGACCCCTGAACTATACATTTATTTTCTCTTGCAAATCTTCAACAAATACCTTGAATTCAATTAAAGAACTTTCTTCAGGTCTTTCAAGAACTTAATGCTTGAAATGTTGCTTTCTTGTGAAAGGATCTTCAAGGATCATCAGAGGAAATGGCCACGCCGATATGTACTGGATCTTTTGACCCCGAAGGTGAAGATGTGCTCCTATATTTTTTTACAATTTGTATTTTAGTATCGGTCTGCTAAAGAACCAGACTCTAAATATTAGTGTTACTATATAAATCCCTAAACAGCATAGGGTCAGATTCCCTCAGAGTGTTTTTATTTTATTTTTTTATTATTGCACACTCCCTTGAATTCCTTTGGCAATTGAAATGGCTAATTGGTTGATTAAATAGATAACTCTATCAGCCTACCAGGGAGCCTGCCCTCTGCACAATAACTTTGAAACTGCTTTTTGGTGTCGATGTAGAAATAGTTTAGCAGCGATACTTGTCTCACAGAATAGCCTTTCCTTTGTGTTGTGCTGTACCATGTGCATACAGTATGTGCCGTGTGGGTTTGTGTGCATCTACAAGTCACTTTTGACTCGGGAGACCATCTGACAAAATTCTGTAGTTTTCTTAGCAAGATTTCAGAAGTGGTTTGCCATTGCCATTTTCCTAGAGCTCAGAAAGAGTGATTGGCCCACCGTCACCCAAATGGCTGCACGCCTAAAGTGGAAATAGAACTCACAATTTCTGATTTCTAGCCTGGTGCTTTAACCATTAACCCATACTGCCCCTCATGTATGCCTTAGGCATCTCTTAAATCTTATCTTCTTATGCTGTTCTTTCCTTTGTAATTTGTAAATTTTGCATTCTCTTATTTTCTTATTTAAAATATATTTTATTTCAAACTGCTCGGTTTTTTAATATACTACATGCTTCTGATAAAGCCAACCATACATGTTACTGAAATATCAGCCAAAGATTTGTGCCTAACTTAACTTTTGTTCATCTTTAGAAAGAAAAGATAATTCTCCTGACCATCAGGCTCCTTTGATTAGACCCACTCGTAACTCTGCTAAAAGGAAGGTATAAATAAAAAGGAATATTTCATAAGTTGATTAACAGGCATAAATGAATAGCTTTGCTGGAAGTTTCCATTCACTTTACAGATACTTGTTTTTGAAATCGTTATTTTTCACTATTTGGCAAATGCTTAATAGAGGAGATTATGAAATCTATTGCATGTCTCTTTTTGTTTTGAAAATTCCAAGTTGCGTGTTACTATTTCTTTGTACTTTCCTGTTTTTATAATTCTGTATGTAAGATATAGTTTCCGTACGGTCCCGTATTTTAATACAGATATTTCCCAATGTCTAGTGCGTAGTGGAAGCAGAAGAAAAACGTCTTGCAATCAAAATTGAAGTCCAGAATCAGCTCAACCAATTGCAGAAAGCCAAAACTTCAACCAAATTCAAAAAAAACCCAGTAAGTAACTTACGTTATAGATGTATGTAGTTTATAGTCATTTGTTTGTTTGTTTGACTTAGTTGCTGTTCCTCTTACCTCAAGACAAATCTCATAGTGGTATTTATGGTGGTTGGCTTCACACATTGTCTTAGGTCAGATTTTTTTTTAAAAAAATATATATTTGTTAAACACTTTGTTGATTATTGATTTGTTTACATCCCACCTTTATCATTTTCATAAGTAACTCAAGGCAGCAAACATACCTCACGCTCTTTCCTCTTCCTGTTTTCTCCTCAGCAACAAACTTGTGAGGTGAATTGGGCTGAGGGTCACCCAACCAGCTTTCATGCCTAAAATAGAGCTAGAACTCTCAGTCCCCTGGTTTCTAGCCTTAACCACTAGACCAAGCTGGCTCTGAAAAATATCACTCTATCTATACACCTGGTCACTTAGCAACCGTTTAAAGCAACAGTGTCCAAACTTGGGAACTTTAAGACTTGTGGACTTCAACTCCCAGAAGTCCCCAGCCAGCATGGTTGAAGTCCACAAGTCTTAAAGTTTCCAAGTTTGGACACCGCTGGTTTAAAGTCACAATGGACACCACCACCACCGCATTTTGGGCATCTTGTAACTGGCCCATGTTTATGACCATTTGAAGTGCCCTGTAGTCACATAACTGCAATTTATGATGTTTTTTGTCAAAAACCACCAGCTACTTCCGATTTAGCATAGCGAATAAGGGGTTCATGTTATGACTGCCACATTCATTTAACAACCACCATTTTAAAAAAAGGTCATAATAATTGCCAGGCTCAATTATAATTGTAAGTGGAGAACTACCTGTATTATCTACGTATATTTATTATCTTCTGTTATTATCTACTGTATATCCTTTGCTACAATTCAAATCAACTGGACTGTATGTTATATTGATCTTTAGGGTGATAATGTTAAGAAAAAAGCAAGATAAAAAGCCAAACCACTTCATGGCATGATTTCATATGTAAATTTGTTGCTTGTTCAGTGCCTAGAAATATTAGCAATCTTTAGCACTGGGTTAATGGGGTGCCTTCCCATTTATTTTCAGGCTGTCCGACCCAAAGTGGCAGGAAAAAGAAGGGGGAGGAAGAAGAAGAAACAGGAGCAGAAAGTATTTTATGGGCCTCGCGAGAGGGTATCGAAGAAACCTTTTCTAAGTCCGATCCCAGAAATAACAGAAAATACCTCCTTTTGTTCCTCTTACCCAAATACACCAACATTAAACGTTTCCACTTCAGGTATGTAAAATTACAAGCTGCCTTTCTTCATCTTTTCTTTAACTGGTAGATTAACAAGGCTCCTTCCCTTGCTATGTTAGAATAGATCACAGACAAAATTAAAATAATGACATGTCAGAAGCAAGAACTAGAATTCTGTCCAATCTGGGTGGACTTTATAATTCATTGCAATTGCAATAGAAACTATGTCTGACGACAGTTTAGATATACAATAAATAGTAATGTCTATGTGGTTGGTGTTGTCTATACTTTGGAGCAGAGTATTTTTCAAAATGCATCTTCTTTCTTTTAAGCAACATGGATTTATTTCATTTAGCAATGAAAAGGAAAACAAACAAACATGAATTATAAGAGCCAAGGTGGCGCAGTGGTTAAAAGCAGCACTGCAGGCTACTGCTAGATCAGCAGGTCAGCGGTTCAAATCTCACCGGCTCAGGGTTGACTCAGCCTTCCATCCTTCCGAGGTGGGTAAAATG